AATTACACCACCAAGAAAAGGATGGAATTTGCTCTCTAATTTAATTTAAATTAAATTACGAATTTAATCCACAACTATTTAAAATTTAAAAGTATACGAGCGAGTCGGTTCGGTCAATCTGGTTTATTTCTCCATGCGGTCTGGTTCATTTTTCCGGTTCGGACCGGTTTTATGGAAGCAAAAGTGGTTTTTTCTTAAGCCAACAATGCGGAGCTTACATCCGGCCATTTGATACCAAACCAGAGCCGCTTCGTTCTAAAATTCCCCTCCTCTTTCTCCGCTGGCACCTCTCCTTGCCTGCCGCAATGTCGTCCGTTCTTGATCTCCATTAATACTCTCCCTTTCCATCTCTCTCTCTCTCTCTCTCTCTCTCATCTTCACCCATGGAGGTTGCCGGAGACTGGATTCTTCCGGCCACCCACATGCCCGTCTTGGAGATCAACCTCATCTCTGCCCAAGGTCTCAAGGTCCCCTCCCATCAATTCCATCCCAAACAGACCTACGCCGTCGCATGGGTCGACCCATTAAACCGCCTCCGCACCCGTCTCGACACCATCGGCGGCGACAACCCCACCTGGAACGACAAGTTTCTCTTCCGCGTCTCGCCGGAGTTTCTTACCCGCGATACCGCCGCCGTCTCCGTCGAGATCTACGCCACAGGCTGTTTCCGTGATTCTCTTGTCGGTACTGTCCGTTTCCTTTTCCGTAACGTCATCGCTTCTAATGACTGTACCAAGACCCCTGCGTTCACTGCCCTCCAAGTCCGTCGTCCTTCTGGACGCTTCCAGGGCGTTCTGAATATCGGCGTTATGGTTAATGAAAACTCCGATTTCGCTTCCTTGAATGGAGTGCCTGCGATTGGTTACCGCGATTTGATGGGGGAGGGTTTTGATCGGCGGCGGAGGAGGAAGAAGAAATCTAAGGCTAGGGATTCTGAAATTTCCGCCGGATCTCATGATGCAAAGTTGCTGGATTCGTCGGATGGGAATGAATCGACGTGTTCTTCTTCTTCATCGTCGTCGGCGAAATCGAATTTGGTTAGTGATTTGAACGGATTTAGGAAAGGGGCGGAGGCAGAGGAGGAAGCAGGGGAAGCCAAAACCCTGAAGGCGTCCAAGCGTTCGGGGTTTTTGTGCGGCCTGGTGATCCATAGGAAGACGAGGATGGGCGATGATATTCCGCCATTGGAGAAGAACATCAAGGTTTTCAGAGGATCTCCGGACATGGAAAGGTAAAATCTGTAACCCCAGTTGAGGATTTCATTATCATTGTTCATTGTTCATCATCATAGATGTTTTTGTTTTCCCCCGCCATTGGATGGAAGGGTTTCTGGAATGAAAATTTGAGAGATTCAGAAGAACAATTTCGTCATTCCTTTCATTTTGTTCAAACTCTGATTCTTTCAATTTTTATTAATTCAAGGGTAATTTATTTGAATCAAGTGTTCTAATCTCATGATTTCAAAATTAAAATATTTACCTTTCCTTTTGCATGCAATTATTAAATAACGAAATTCCTTCAAAACAAAAAGGAAATGGAGTTGTTCCCAACTTCCATGAACGATCAAAATCATTTGGAATTGAATTCAAACCAAAAATAGGTTAACGTTGTAGTTAAACTTTTTTATATATATTTACCTATGACAACGTTGTAGTTAACCTGTAATAATTATATTTTACTAATATGTTTTTTTTTTTAATTTAGTTACTGAGAGAATAATTAAAAATCAAATTTAACTCTTAGGTATTTTGACACTTTGAACTACCCTACATAATCTAAAATTAAAATGCTAGAATTTTAAAAACTCAAAAAATGAAATGGAAATTAAATTCAAATTCTAAAAAATTTTAGTTTACAAAAACAAAAAACTTCCTAAACTAAATAAATAAAAAAAAAAAAAAACAAAACTAAAACTACTTTTTAATTATTTTATTATAAATTTCAAATATTTTTATTTTTTTAATGATAATCCGAATTAGATTGTAACTCTATTTTTTAATGGGTCCAAATTTTAATTTTTAAAAAAATAAATTTATTTGATTGCAATTTGAGTGTCATTGGTGATTGTAATTTCCTTCACCGGCTTTAACCCATGTGATTCACTGCTCTTTTTTACTTTTTTTACTGTACTTTCTTCACTCACCTTTACCACATATTTCTACCATGAATGCCAGCACCCACTGAAGGATGGACCGCACACTCTTTACCCTTTTCCCTATTTTGGTAACTTAAATTCTGAATTTCCATTGATTTGGACACATTTTTGGCATTTTGTTTGTTTTCTTCTTCCTTTCATCTTACTATTCAAACAAAACAAGACATAAATCTTAAACAATGTCCGTGGGTTAAGTCGAGTCAAGTTTGGACATTTTTTAAAATAAAAAACCCAAACTGATTATGACATGGATAACTAGTACTATATACATTCAAGTGACTCGTGATCATAGCAAATATTTGAGAGTTTCATCTCCATTTAAAAAAAAAAAAACAATAGTTTTCTTTATCTTCTATTAATCAAACCAGCAACACAAATTTATGAGATCCTACATCACTTAAATAGGGGAACGAAACCTCTCCCTAACAAACAATATGGTCATTAACTATGTTCTCTACCGACTTAGCAATACAGTCATGAAGGAGACTAGCGATATGACTCCTCAATATTTTATTGGTGATATGATCACAATCAGGCAATATGGCCAATAGAGAGGTATGCGTTTGCATTTTTCGACCCTAACCGACCCTTTCTATAATGTTTTATTTTTCAAGTAAGAACAAGGGTAAGCTCGGGAGGGAGCCATGGAAATCAAATAAGTAGAAAAGAAAATGTTTTATTCTAAAGTACACGATGCTCTTTTTATTCGGGAGAGTATATATTCCAATAAATATTATTTATTTATTTTTGTTAAATAATTATCTTAACATCTTTTTTTTTTTACCCGTTCTTAATTTCTACGCTAGCTATTTGATCCTTGTGACATATATATGCCCGAATTTAGATGGTAATTTTATTTTATTTTAGAAAAGTAGTCACTCAAAATTAAATTATTTATTTTTTGTTTAACGACTATAGTATATGTTTGGTAATTTTGGTTGATATTTTATTTTATAAATTTAATCAAAATAAGGATGAAACTCTAGGGTGTATTTAGATTAATATATTTAAATAATTAATGATGTATTTTACGCCTAAAAATATTAATTAATGATGTCACCCCCGAAATATTTTGAAGTAAATTATCTTTTTTAAAATAACTTTTATTTTTAGAACAAAATTTAAAGTATATATATATTTTTTTAATTTAAACTGGGTATACAATCAATAAAATAAAATTAAAATATTGTATATATCTTAAAGATGTATCGACGGCTTGGAAAATAGGTCTGGAGTGAAACACAAGGCGAAGGCCCTTCTGTGGCTCTATCCCCACGCTACCCATTACCAGCGAAAAGCACACGCGCTTCCACGCGCCCCTCTCTCTCTCTCTCTCTCTCTCTCTGTACAGCCGCTAAAAGAAAAACCGCCCTCCCCTTCCCACTCTCGTCTGTCGTTTTTGTTATATCTAAAAAGAAAACGAAAGGGGAGAACCGAAATGATGTAAAACCGAAGAAAAATCTTTGAGTGGCAACAAAAGAGACAGCCTCACTCTCTCATCTAACATGCTTTCACCTCATGCTTCCTCTCTGTTTTTTTGGCCGCCAAATCTTGCACCCCTTTCAATCCTTTCATCCCATTTTCCACTGACTTCTCTTCTCTGACCCATTAAACCCTTGCTCCCTCTTTATCATTTCCTTCATCCCACATTTCTCCATCCAATCTACCATTTCCCCATTTTCAGGTCACTGCCCAGGAGGCCTTTTATAAGGTTTGTTCATCGTGGGTTTTCGATATCTGGGCCTAATTTTACTTTTGTAATCGTTTTGTTGCCTTTTTTCTTGATCTGGGTTTTGTTTTTAATACATTTATTTGCTCGTTTGCTGATGGATATGCCTTTCTTTAGACGCCAGGTTTTTGTAGTTGGTTGATCCTTAACTCTTGAGACGTATTCTTGTTTGTTTTTCCCTTTCCCTTTGGAGATTGCTTGAATTTATGTTGAGTTAATGTGGACTGGACTGGATTTTGTTTTGGAAAGCTTCTCTTTGAATTGATTTCCACTGTTCTTAATTTTACCCTTTGCAGTTATGATTAGGCGATTTGTATTTATTTCCCTCTTTGGAATTTGACTCCTTACACACATATTTTCTTAAAGAATATTGTACTCATGAACAGTGTCCATCTTTTGTTGCTGTCTGCCATTCTTTCTTGTGGGGTTCTGCACAATGTCGTTTGTTTGGCCTCAAATTTTATCCTTTTGCCCTTATTTGTGGTTCCAAAACACTTTGGTTTCATGTGTAGTATGAGATCTCAGGTTGGTTGGAGAAGAGAACGAAACTTTCCTTATAAGGGTGTGAAAACCTTTTTACCTCTCCCTAATAAACGCGTTTTAAAACCTAAAGTACTTTCCTTATAAGGGTGTGAAAACCTTTTTACCTCTCCCTAATAAACGCGTTTTAAAACCTAAAGTGAAAGCGTGGAAGGGAAAGTTCAAAGAGGACAATATCTACTAATGGTGGGGTTGGGCTGATAAGTTGATAGGCTATTACATGGATGGTCGCAAGTTGTAAAGGATCATTTCTTGACTTACAAACCCACATGGCATTCTTGAAGACAGGATATGTCGTATGATTTAAGGGTGGTGTGACTTTTATTTATGTTACTGTAAGTGTAATGATGAGTAGTGTTATGTAGTACTCTCTATGTTTTAGTTTCTGACTTCCCTTTGTCATTTGTACTAAGCTGAAATGTGTTTTTCTCCGTCTATTGGAAGAATATGCTTTATGACATGTGCTTGTTTCAATTCAGAACAATTGGATTGGTTCCTTCCTGCTGCATCTTCTTCTAATTCGGGTCCTGTGATCAGTTCTTCGTTATGGCGGGAAAAACGTCATGGATCCTGCATCTTCTTCTAATTCGGGTCCTGTGATCAGTTCTTCGTTATGGCGGGAAAAACGTCATGGATCAAGCTTTTCCACAATGAGATGGCAAGAGATCTTAGAAATTTCGATTCTTACTCAGACTTCGCAAATGATGGGGGCATAGAGGCTGTAGCAGTTTCTGTGGAGTCGATCCTGCCTGATGACTTGTTGGACAAATGATGGGGGCATAGAGGCTGTAGCAGTTTCTGTGGAGTCGATCCTGCCTGATGACTTGTTGGAACGAATTCTGTCATGTCTACCAATAGCGAGCATTTTTCGAGCTGGTTCTGTGTGCAAAAGATGGCATGATATAGTCAGTTCCAGGAGTTTTTTGTGGAACTTCTCACATGTCAAATCACATAAACCTTGGTATTTCATGTTTACGAGCTCGGATGAGCCGATTGGTCATGCCTACGATCCAGTTCTTAGGAAGTGGTATGCCATCGATCTCCCCTGCATCGACAAGTCGAATTGGTTCATTGCCTCATCATGTGGCTTGGTTTGCTTCATGGATAATGACAGTAGAAGCGAGTTACATGTCTGCAATCCTATAACCAAATGCTCAATGAAACTACCGGAGCCCTCAGGATCTAAGTTCTCTGATTATAGTGCACTAGCAATCTCTGCTAACAGGGTTTCACACAATTATACAATCTCTGTTGTGAAATCTAAGCAAGTTCCTGGAAACTTCTTTCAATGGGATATATCGATTCATATCTATGATTCGGAAACGAACACGTGGGCTACCTCCTTGACTGAAGTGTTGTTGGAGTGGAGAGGTGGCAACGAGAGTGTGATTTGTGATGGTGTTCTTTACTTCTTGCTCTACTCAACTGGGGGCGGGATGTCTGATCATCGACACGGTCTCGTTACTTATAATATCTCTAACCGTTCTTCTCATGGTTTGTTGATAAAAAGCTTTATTCCTGCTCCTTGTTCTCTCACATGTGGTCGATTGATGAACCTTAAGCAGAAGCTGGTAATGGTTGGAGGGATTGGTAAACAGGATAGGCCAGACATTATTAAAGGGATTGGTATTTGGATTCTTTGTGGGAAAGAGTGGCAAGAAATTGCACGCATGCCTCACAAGTTCTTCCAGGGATTTGGGGAGTTGGATGATGTTTTTTCCAGCTGTGGCACTGATGACCTTATCTACATCCATAGCTATGGAGCTCCAGCTTTACTCGTTTTTGACATGAACGTAAAACAATGGAGATGGTCACTGAAGTGCCCGGTGACAAAGAGATTCCCGCTTCAGCTTTTCACCGGCTTTTGCTTCGAACCGAGGCTCGAGATCAATCCTTGATTTGTTTCAGCTTGTGTGCTGAAAATTTTGGTTGATTTGGTTCTTATTTGCTTTCTCTTTTGAATTTTCTGTTGCACTGAAGAATCTACATTCCATGGAAGAAGTATATACATGTAACTGCAGATAAAAGCTGCATTCATATTCATGAATATGAGAATATAATTCTTTACATAGGAAAATACCTCTCAAGTAAAACAGTTTCAAATTTGGTGATTCCTGGAACTTCTTCAATGAATCACTCTCTGTTCATCTTGAGCTCTGTCTAGAACTCTGCTGTTCTATACATGTATATCTATCTGTTTGTACTTGTGGGCTGTCCTGACAGCAACATGAACTCAGTGCTCTATCTACAATTTAAGCTTTTGGGTTTAATGGGTATGCAATTGTTCCTTAGGACCTGAATGCTCTATCTATAATTTAAGCTTTTGGATTTAATGGGTATTCAACGATGATCGCTTGCTTGCATTGTTCCTTATGATCGAGTGTTAATAGGTACTCAACGTTGATCGCTTGCTTGCGTTGTTTCTTATGATCAACCATTACAAGTCTAGACGGGACGTGCTAAATATATCACATCATAAATCAATCTATAACAATCTATTCGATCCAATGAAATAAATTAATCTATTTCTAACATATTTGGTCACGTAAACATGTCATTTTAACTAATAATGTAGTAAAAGAGGGCACTTGGGTTGGCAATGGAGCTTTTGATTAGTGGACATTTGCCAAAAATAGGGCGTTGGTTGGAATACCCCACAACTAAATTTGGCGCCAAGAACTGTATTTCCCCTGCAATTCAATCGTCTCTAACCTCCATTTCTAGCACGCCCTTCAATCCCAAAGCCATAATTATTCATCTCCCTCTCCCTTTTCTTCTTCTTTATCTCTTTCTTCCTTGGCTGCCTCAATTTCTCCCCCCATCAACTGATTCTTCCTCTGACAAAGGTAATGGGTTCGACCCTTTTCGTCATTCTGTCTCTGCGAAATTTATACCACTTTTTTTCCCTTTTTCCCTTTTTCCCTTTTGTCTTCGTCTTCGTTTATCGCCTACTTGCTGCTTTTGTCCCTCTGATTTTTTCCCTTTTTCCCTTTTGTCTTCGTCTTCGTTTATCGCCTACTTGCTGCTTTTGTCCCTCTGATTCTTCCAGGATTGGATTGGTTGATTTTTGCGAATGGGTTTGGTTGATTGATGTGGGAAATCATTTAGGTTTCTTTTTTTGGCCCGTTTCGATTAGAAAATGCATCTTGCACATGTTCTTGTTTGTGGGGCGATCTGGGTTTTCGAGACCCTAATAAAACTGAACGTTTTTTGTTTACATCCGTTAGTAATTTTATCTGGGGGGCTCTGTTTCTGTACCATTTGAGTACAACAGAGCAGTTTTGTGCAGCAATGAAGACACCCTCTCAGCTTTTCTGGTTATGGTGTGACCCACACTTTGAGAAAACAACCTCGCATGCTCTCCATTGATTTTCCATAAGATTACCCAGAATCCAAGATGCGTATAAGATGCTTTGAAATCCATTGACAATAGAATAGTGTAGATATCAGATAAGTGTTTGAGCTTGTGATCCCATCTGGGTTTATTTGCAACAAGACAATGGCATGATTACAAAATATGAACTCGTTCTCTGTGAATATGTTGGTTGATATAATCATTTCTCATGTTTATCCTGAATGTGTTTATAAATTTAACTTGTTCTTAAGATACTGAAATTGGTTTTTGGATGATTCTAGTTGGAATCAACCTGGAAATTCAACGCTTTCTGGATCAGTCAAGGGACTTTGGACATTAATAAGGTTTGGATTTTGAACATCATTTTCAGATGATTTCCATCTTTGTAGGTTTTGGAAAGATTCTTTATACTGTTCGTGGACAAATGGCCAAAGTTATATGAACAATGTTGTTAATACCACGATCCCTGAATTTGACCAAGCCCTTTTGTTTTGATATCATTTAGGCTGCTTAATAGTGATTATTATTGCTATTGTTTGTTCTTGAATAAGGTCTCTGTGTTGCAGGGAAGTTCATGGCAATGGGGAGAGAGGAAGTCTCACCACAGGACTTCAAAACCACTAAAAATGATTGGATTCAACACGCCAAGAAGAATAACATACGTCTTCCTCAAGGCTCCTTTACTGACTTTGAGTGGAAAGATTATTGTCCAGCAGTTTTCAGGTTCCCCTCTTACAAAATCTCCCTAGAAGTTGTTTTTTTTTTTTTTGTTGTGAATCCAATCTTTTGTCCTTGAACTTCTGAATCCTTAACAAATTGGGTGAGATCTCACGTCTGTTGGAGAGGTGAACAAAATATTCCTTATAAGGGAGCCCTTGAAGAGAAAACTCAAAGAAGACAATATCTGCTAGCGGTGGGCTTAGACTGTTACAAATGGTATCAGAGCTAGACACCGGGTGGTGTGCCAGCGAGGATGCTGGCCCCCAAGGGGGTGGATTGTGAGATCCTACATCAAGGTTGGAGAGGGGAACAAAACATTCCTTATAAGGGTGTGGAAACCTCTCTCTAGCAGACACATTTTAAAACCTTGAAGGGAAAGCTCAAAGAGAACAATATATGCTAGCAGTAGGCTTGAGCTATTACAAATTGTATCAGAGCTAGACACCAGGCGGTGTGCCAGCGAGGATGCTGGCCCCCAAGGGGGGGTGGATTGTGAGATTCCAAATCGGTTGGAGAGGGAAATAAAACATTTCTTATAAGGATGTGGAAACCTATCCCTAGCAGACACGTTTTAAAACCTTGAGGGGAAGCTCTCAAAGGGAAAGCTCTCAAAGGGAAAGCTCAAAGAAGACAATATTTGCTAGTAGTGGGTTTGGGCAGTTATAAATGATATCAGAGCTAGACACTGGGAGGTGTGCTAGCAAGGACGCTAGACTCCCTAAAGGGTGGATCGTGAGATCTCACATCAATTGAAGAGAGGAACAAAACATTCCTTATAAGGGTGTAGAAACCTCTCCGTAATCATGAAGCTAAAAGTTTAAGCTTTCCTTATTTTCTTTGTTTGTTTGTTCTTCCAGAAACATACTAGAGCTAGAGAAAATAGAGTATGCTGACTATATGTTGTCCATTTGTGGTGATGAGACTCTAAGAGAAGTTTCTTCGCCCGGAAGAATTGGCAACGTGATATTTCTCTC